AAGCGTCTCCTAATAGACCATACCTTTCAGAAAGCTGCTGCATGCTGTGATCACACCAGATAAACCAGAGCGATAACAATAAGGCTAATCTTGCAGACATTAAGTCATAGCAGCTAACAAAAGGAGGATGTTGCCATGTCAGAGGGAGCCACCTACTACCGAAGCATTAGGAGGAGAAGTGGGAGGAAAGGGGGATGCTAGATGCAGATCCAGACTCCAGGAGAAACTGTTTCCCTGGCCCAGAAGTCAGAGGAAGGCTCATGGGGATAAGACCTGTGGTGAAGGAAGTCTTGTAATAGCAACAGGACAAAGCTTCTCCATTTGGAATTTTGTGTTTGCAAAAAGCGAAAATAAAGTAACTTTAAAAAAAAAATCATCTTGGCTGGGCTCAGTGGCTTACCCCTGCAATCCCAACACTTTGGGAGGACAAGGCAGGCAAATCACTTGAGGTCAAGAGTTCAAGACCAACCTGGCCAACATGGTGAAATCCCATCTCTACTGAAACTACAAAAATTAGCCAGGCACGGTGGCACGCGCCTGTAACCCCAGCTACTCGGGAGACTGAGGCAGGAAAATCACTTGAAGCTGGGAAGCAGAGGCTGCAGTGAGCTGAGATCACACCACTGCACCACTCCAGCCCAGGAGTGGCAACAGGGCAAGACTCCTCTTTGAGTCCTCCTCTCTCTCTTTTTCCTTGCCTTCCTCTCCAGTAGTGGGACATCTTACTGCTCTCACATCACGCTGTGGGTGGGGGAAAGTGAGGCTAGGACCCACTGCCTCTGACACCCTAATCTCTGGCACAGAAGGATGACTATTGGTGCTGAGCCCTGCAGGGGCATGGCGGGCTGGCTGAGTGAGGCTGTCTGAGGACCACTTAGTATACATTGGTGAGACTATCTATGTTATAGGGGTTTAAAATCTCCCAAGTCTCTACTTAAGACTGAAACATTAGACTACAGGCTTTTCCCCCACTCTCAGATCCTGCAAACCTAATTGCAGTTTATGTAAAGCTCCCTACCTGCTCCCATGCAGCAAGCCTCAGGCCCCAGTGTGACTCTTTCTTTTCCTTTTCTTCTACCTTTCACCTCGACCCAGCACTCAGGTTCCATGAAGCTGGTAGTCTCCGTTTTGCTGCTGAGTTCCCTCAGGCCCAAGGTCTTTGAAACTCAGAAGCCAAAAATGTAGCTATTTCATGATGTCTTCTATCATGCCACTCCCTTCAGAGGCCACAAGGGATGCTTTGTGACCAACCCTGGTGAGAACACAAGTCAGTCCCAAACAACCTCCCACTGAGTCTCCTCTGGCTCAGGCCTCATCTTCTTTTCCCCACAAGACAGGCATTTCAGAAATTGTGTGGCTGAAGAATGACTGGAAAGCAGGAGGTTAATATAGGATGGGGACTATTCAGGAATTCTGACAAGAAGGCTGAGCCAGACTGAAAGCTACAGATAAGGCTACGCGTCCCACGCAGCAAGCTGGGGGCAGCCTCCAGATCCCAGGCTAAGCTGGGGGCAGGCGCATGGGGAAGGTGGTGAGACAGAGGCAGGATCCAACAGCACAGACATTTGGGCCAGCCTGGAAGCCAGAAAAATGGGAACAGGATATTGGAGTTCTGCGCCTGAGGCTGGAAAGATGACCTTCAGATTCACATGTGGCTGCTGACCCTGAATGAGCTCTTTCTTTGTGCTGCCCTGGTTTGACCCAGCACAAAGAACGAGCTGCCCTTCTGAGGTCAGAGCTGCCCTTGAAGGTCAGACAACTATGGGTTAAATCCCTGGTCTTCTCCTGACCTTAACAAATCACTTAACATCTTACTGTGCATCTGTTTCCTTATTTCTAAAATGTTGTAAACTTTCTCCCAACTCTAAGTTTTTAAAGTTATCACATGCCTGCATGTGCGCACGCGCGCACATACACACACACACACACACACACACACACACACACAAAAAAAATACCTATTCAACCAGGGCTATTTTTTTCAGGGACTCAGGAGCTCTGGAAATGCTGGGTAAAATGAAAACATCTTCCTCCAGGCTCCACCAAGGAGACAGGGTTTGGCTCCCCAGCAGGAAGTGGCTCCTTTGACTCTCTTCCTCTTTCCAATATCACCTCATCCCCTTAAAGAAGAATAAACTTTTCACTCCTTGACAGTCACAAGCCCATCTAGAAATTAAGTACTAAAGCTATAGCTTTTATTTACTGAGCTTTCTTAATTATCTGGGTGGTTGCAAACTCCACCTGTGCCATGATCAATCCTGGGCCTGCATTATCATCATAAAACCTAACAGCCTGCATTCCAAATGCACAGCAAATGCCCAGCAGAGGTCCCTGGGGAAAAGAGCATGTGATCATTAACTCATCTTAATAATTCAGGATATTCTTTATTTCCTTTCTCTGTCTCTTCCTCTTTCTTTTCCCAACGAGCAGTGAGCAGAGTGCCGTGTCAGGAAATGAAGAAGCAGAAGATGAGCGTGGTAGACTTCGCTCTACCATCTTGGCACTCACACCCTCCCCATCTGTAAATGAATAGGTTGGGCTGGGTATTGGTTTCAGGCCTGGATAACCATCAGAATCACTTATAGAATAACAACAAAGATATCTGAGCCATCTATATTCACCTCAAACCTACTGAATCAGAATTTCCAGGGCTGGTGACCAGAAATCTGTTTGTTTTTTGTTTTTTTTTTTTTCTCCCAAAGCTTTCCAAAAGATTCTTAACATCAGTCAGGTCTGAGAACCACCGGACTCTATAGATAAAACTCTGGCCACTTCAGCTTCAATAATCACTTTCCATTAAATTTACATTCTAGTTACTGCCATGGTTAAGGATCCTGTTACAAGTGTATAACACAATCCCTCAATATTTACAGCAACTAACACATGTTGGAGGGATCCAAATGGTCTATCTTACAGGAAACAATGTCATATGGGAGGTGGCTGAGGTGCCTCTCAGGAACTCTAGGGCTTATTTGGAGCTAAAGCATTTCTCGGGAGGGATTCTATTGTCATTTCCAGCTGGTCAGCTTCAGCTTTGAGGAAACTGCCTTATGTATTGCAGGGGATAGAGCATCCCTGGCCTCCATTTGCCAAATATTTGTGATACTCCCAGATCCGCCATGGCTATCAAACAGACTTCTCATATGAGCAAACTAATGCCCAGCTCACTGTGAGGGGATGAATAATAAATACTTCCTACTTATGTAAGTAGGATATTATTTATTAAAAATTATTTTTAATCATTTATTTATAAATATCAATTTATAATAATTACTGTAATTAATTTATGATGTCATAGATATTTGATATAATATCCAATGTAATAACAATATTATAAATTAATTATAATTAATACTTATTTATTGTGAGAATTAAATGAGCAAAGGCACGTGAGGCACGTACCACAATGCCTGGCACCAAGACGCAGTCAATAAATGTTAACTATTAGTACTACTGTTATTAATCCAGAAACACAATTTCAGCTGGGTGGAAACTCTAAAACCATAATTGTGTGTGTAAGTGTGTGTGTTGCAGAGAGACCTGCTAGAGTCAGTCTATTAATAAAACACTTTTTCTCCCTTTTAAGATTTTTTTTGTCCAACACATGTTACCACTTCATATTGTTCATATTACCTAGAAACTTATTTAGCTTTTGCTTTCCTCTGAGTTTCCCTTAATTTCTGGTGACCCGTAGGGCCACCAGACAAGATGACATGCTCAGTCTGAACGGCCCCCTATTCGGTTCCCCTGTCTCTAGGCAGGAAGGGGTATCTCAGAAACAAGATACCCTCAATATAACCTGCTCACCTCCAAGAATACTGACACCCATAACCAACTATCCTAAACCAACAGCCAAACCCCTCTCAAATTATTCTTAGGGTGGGAGTCAAACAACTTTTATTTTTGCATCCCCTGGAACAAGTGCTTTAGCCATTATCTTCGTCATCCTGAAAGTAAAGATACAAAAATAGGAGGTTCAGAGAGGTTTTCTGATTTTACTTCATTCACAAAGAGAAAGGAGTGCAGGAGGAGAAGATTCCCCAAAGCAGTGGGCAGGAGAAGGAAGGAGACTACGTATGAGTTAAGAACCAGCACTGAATGATTGAAGACTACACACATTGATTAAAACTGTGACAAGCGTTTAGTATTTTGAGCTTCAGCTCCCACCTCTGTAACAAGGTGATAAGACAACCAGCTTCACGACATTCTTGTAAAGAGAACAAGAATGTAGCCAGAGTGTTCTCATTGTCTGGCTCATAGTAAGGAAGCCACTTATCACCCCATTTTGTAAAACTATAATCAGTTAACAAGGTAGTTTTATTACTCATTTTAAAAATGAGAAAATTGAGATTCAAATTGGGTCAATACTTTGGTTCAGGTAGCCACCTCAGGGATAATGGGTAGAAATCAGATTTTTAGTAAAGTACCTTGGTATGTATTAATATCATATCTTAAGTTAAACTTTCCTTACTATAACTTAACCCATTGTATTTCCACTGCTTCCTTTATAATGAGAATAATTACCTTTTACCTTGTCCATTACATCTACACACATATTGATAGAGTTATTTATCCCCTAAGTCTTCTTAACCCAAGGCTGAACATGTTCAATGCACTTCCCTCTTCCTCAAGGATCTTGTTTTTGAAACATTTCATCATTTTGTTGCTTTCCCTTGTGCTTCCCCCACCCCAGGAGAAAAACATGTCAGGCCAACACTGAAGGCTGACGTGATCCTTCACATCTAGGTGGTCTTGCTCTTATAAATGCTTGCCCTGAATGATCTTTTATAATTTTGCCCCCAGGGGTCAAGAAGAGAAAATTCAATAGTGGAAATCACTACATATGCTTGCATCAAGCCAGATATTTAATAGATAAATGTCAGATGAAGAAAAACTCAAGAATATTACAGGTAGATTCCACTGTAATCTTTTTACCACATTTGCACCACGATTGGTTCTCAAGTAAAAAATCAGAATGAAAAACAGCAAAAATCACTTGCTCAGAGCAAAAGACACATTTAATAATCAACATCAAGGAGGTTTCATAATAAAGTCAATGGCAGTATCTCAGGATTGAGGGTAAAAAGACTTTAATACTGTGTTTAATATCCTAGAATGGCTTTGTATTTGCTACGTGGCCTTAGGCAAATCACTTAACCTTGCTGAGTGTCAGTTACTTCATCTGTAAAATGAGAGGCAATAGGATTGACCTATTTTTTTAAGGACTGACTGACACATGGATATAACACTACATCTGGGACACAGTGGGTACTCAATCAGTGGTCATGTCGTTATCATTACCATAAGTCTTTTCTAACATGTGAGAAAGTGTATAGCACAGAATGAGGTATGCAGACAGCGCCTATGTATGTTCCTAAACTGTGAAATCTTTGCCCTTGATCTTCACACGTTTCATTCAACCTTTTTACCCACACGTCAAAAAGCTAATCAGGAAGGAAGTGAATTTAAAAGAACAAGGTGTTTGAGAAGAGGCAGCCAGGATGCCCACTTTATTGTTATCTCGAAGTTTAAAAACTAGGAGTTAGAAAAATGCGTTTGACATTGGAATCAGGACATCTCTTGCTTCAAGTAGAATTCAGTGTGTGTTAGGCCTTTATAGAGCCCCTGAGGATCTTATTATAAGATGACATCATCTTTATCTTGTTTCCACAGACAACTCCTATAATGCCATTTTCTGAGGCTCCAGAGTATAATCTATGCATTTTCTGCCTGCCAAGAAATTCAGCTCTTTCCTTCCTCAAGTTGCTCACTAACTAAATTGATGTTTCTACTAATTTGGGCACCACCTCATGTCTTTATTAGGACCTGGTCTCTGATCACATGTCTTAAAAGTATTGAAAAAGTCATAAGGCATTGACATTGGAAACCACACTGTCTTGTTCTATACTACATTCTAAACATTTGCTGTCAAGGTTAAAGAGAAAGTAATGAGAAATCTAAAACTCAGGGGAAAAGGCTTTGGAAAGACCTGAATCACTAGGGTACTCAGTTTAAAGCCCCATCTTTTGTTTGTAATAAAAATTAGATTTTTTTATATTACAGAAACAATATGTGCTCATTGTAGAAAAATAAATACAGATAAGGCAAAAGAAGGGAAAAAACAACAATTTTAAACAAAAGTAGGGAATCCATAGGAATCCATGGTTAACCTTAGGGGTAAATTATACATAAAATATATATATATAAATTTATAGCACTCTGCTTTGGGGCAAGTTGTGCCACAGCAATAGATAGCTGGAAAAAGGAGCAAGCAAGTTTCTATAATGTTGGTGTGTTAGTCAAGAATCTACAGAGGACCTGAACCAATAGGATACACACACACTCATATGCACATACACGACACATATAGCTACAGTGGGGGTATTCATTAAAAAGAACTAACTCACAGGATTATGAAGGCTGAGAAGTCCCATGATCTGCTCTCTCCAAGCTGGAGATGTAGGAAAGTTGTTAGTGTAATCTATCTGTGCACAAAGGCCTGAGAACCAGGGAGCCAGGCCAGTGGTGTAAATCCACGTCTAAGGGCAGGAGATACAAAGAGGTACCAGCTCAAGAAGTGAGGCAGCAATCATTACTGTGGGGCGGGGGGGGGGAGGGTACTGCATATATCAAGATAAAGGGGACATTAACAAGTACTATCCAAATGTGATTTTCTCACTGGGAGAGAAGGTCAGGAAAGAGATGAACAAGGACCTTTCCCTAGGTTGGAGGATATAGAGGACTTGAGCAGTACTGAGAGTACAGGCACTGCTTTGTCAGATTTCCTTTCTGCACCGCAGTCTCTCTGTGACAACTCACAATGGTTCAAGTCTCTTGTATATAACAGTCTGGCAGTAAATGATGCCTTGGAGGAATGATAAAAGTCATGACAGTAGGAAAGCTTTGGTTCCACCAATTCTCCTCGAAGGAACAATGGTAGCCACAGTGGCACAACTAGCGGATGTTTTTCCCAGAGTTCCAAAAGGTGACCAGCAAACAGACCCCACGGCCGAGCAGAAAGCAGCCATCAATGACCAGGGAAAAGCAGAGGTGTTGTGTGCCACATGTTGGATGAAGGCAAAGATGTGAGAAAACCTGTTTTTTGAAAAGAAAAACACAGAAGGGAAGTCATATTGTGAACATGTAAAGAGAAGCTAAATCCTTTTATTATCTGAATAAAGCCTAGTCACAGCTATGGCCTAACTAGGTGGCCAGTACCAGCGTTTCACATGCATTTTTTAACCTAAAATTCAACTGCCTCCCAAAAATTGTAAGTGAATGTTCTACAGTACTTTGGTGGATTGCTTCCAAAGACGGCCACCATCAATCCTTTCCTTCCTTGTAAGCTCATGCTGTACCATGCAACAGAAGGCGGAGTCTTTTTCCTCTCCCCTTAAATCTGAGTGGGTCTGTGACTTGCCTTGACAAATGGAATGCAGTGGAAGTGACACAGTGGCAATATGGGCGCCTATGACCCCTAGACAAAGACTACCAGTAGCATACCTGTAGTCAGACAACATTGGTTATTGACTAGCTGTAGTGAAGAGAAATGTGCACCAGGGGACGCTGTGCAGTGTCTCGGTGAGAGGGTGTTAGACTTAGCAGAGCTTGGGCTTGTAGTAGGCGGTTTTGAGAGTTCAGGAAGTGGCTCTTTTTTCTGGAATGGATGCTGTCAGGCAGTGGGGGTAATTCTGTCATTGGGTATCTTAATTATTATTATTTTTTTTTCAGACGGAGTCTCACTCTGTAGTCAGGCTGGAGTGCAGTGGCACGATCTCAGCTCACTCAACCTCCACCTCCTGGGTTCAAGTGCTTCTCCTGCCTCAGCCTCCCAAGTAGCTGGGACTACAGGCACCAGCCACCATGCCCAGCTAATTTTTGTAATTTTAGTAGAGACGGGGTTTCACCATGTTGGCCAGGATGGTCTTGATTGCATGAACTCGTGATCTGCAGGCCTCAGCCTTCCAAAGTGCTGGGATTACAGGCTTGAGCCACCATGCCTGGCTGGGTATCTTAATTTTTGTATGGAAGGCAAAAAGAATGGAATGAGACACATTTTAATTGGTAAAGACGCAGTAGCCATTCATATTAGTCATAATGTTCTCATTTTTATCTGTATTTGGACATGATTATGGAATGATCTTAGTTCCATCTTGGTCATCACAGAATAACCTTGCCTGATGTCATTCTTCAGTGGAAATGTTTATGTTTACTAGAAAAAAATTTTCAAAAAAAACCCATGGTCTAGTGGTGAGTACAAGGACAGCTCCTAGTAATACCACCATTTAGCAGGTAGTACCTAGCTGGCATTCCATGTCAAGATTGTTTCTCTTTTGTAAGAGCATAAACTAAGAGGCCTGACAACTTCCAATTTCACTTGGGATAAGACAGCCACAGTGTAAAAAGCACAACTACTTTGAGACCACCATGCCAGGAAAAAGCTCACACTAGCTATATGGATAAACCATGCCAAAGAAAACCATGAATCCCAGCTGAAAACAAAAACTAAGTAGCCAATCAAATGGCTGTAGTCAAGCCACCCCGGCAAGCCCCTTTTGGGCTATCTCAGCTGAGACTCTAGATATCACAGAGCAGAGAAAAACAAGCTGTCCTTGCTATGGCTTAATGAAATTCCTGGTCCTCAGAATCCTGAGAAATAAAATGGCTGTTGTTTATGGCCACTACGCTTTGGGGTAAATTATTCTACAGCAGTAGATAGCTGAAACAAGTGGCAGGTAAGTTTATATCATTGTAGTAGTCTGTTTTTATACTGCTATAAAGAATACCTGAGACAGGGTAATTTATGAATGAAAGAGGTTTGACTCATAGTTCCCTATGACTGGGAGGCCTCAGGAAACTTAAAGTCATGGCAAAAGGCAATGGGTAAGTAAAGCATGTCTTTCCACAGTGGCAAGAGGAGAGAGCTTGAAGGTGGAACTGCCAAACACTTGTAAAACTTTTAGATCTCATGAGAACTCACTATCATGAGAACAGCATGGGGGAAACTGCCCCCATGATCCAATCGCCTTCCACCAGGTTTCTCCCTTGACATACAAGGATTATAATTCAAGATGAGATTTGGGTGTGGACACAAGGCCAAATCATGTCCATCAAGCTGGTGTATTACTCAAGAATCTTCTGAGAAACAAAACCAATCAGATACACACACACACAAACATAGAGTGAAGGGATTTATGATGAAGAATTGGCTCACCAATTATGAAGGCTCAGAAATCCCATGATCTGCCCTCTCCAAGCTGAAGACTTAGGGGAGTTAGTGATATAATTCATTTGTGCCCACAGGCCTGAGAACCAGGGAGCCAGTGGTATGAATCCAAGTCAAAGGGCAGGATATGAGATAAGATGTACCAGCTCAAGAAGTGAGGCAGGAAGAAGAGGAGGTAGATTCCTCCTTCCTCTGCCTTTTGCTCTGTTCAGCGTCTATTCACCCTCCTTGGCAAAGGTAATCTGCTTTACTGTGTTCACCAAGTCAAATAGTAATCTCTTCTGGAAACATTTTCAAAAAACCTAGAAATAATTTTTATCTGAGCATCTCCTGATACAGTCAAGTTGACACATAAAATTAACCCCCACAGCTAGTAAGATAGGCCTTGCTTAACTCAAAACTGAAGTGTTGACACTGCAATTATCATTTTAAAATATGAAAAGATTAATCACAGGTTAATGCAAATCATCGTTCCCTCATCTTTATACATAAGAACAAATGTCAGTATATTATATCTCTTTGAGGAAGAGTATATCCTTATATTAATAACCCAACTTTATACCTCTGAAGATACATAGTCCATCACTGTGATAAAACCAAGCCAAAAAGGCTCCTAGCAACCTGTCTGAAATCACCCACACACATCCCAAACTGTCGAGCCTAAGTTATCTCCAGGGCTGCTGTGGGATTCTCTGATTCAGTCCAGATCAACCCTAGGAGGAAGTTCTGAACACTCTAGAGAACATGCAAGAAATTGGAGCCAATATTTAGACCCATTCTAAGCAGGGCTGTCAGGATTGGGCCTTCCCCAGAGCTGAGCCTAACCTCCAGCTCTGACCTGGAAGTGTCAGTGTCTGGTAGGCTTCACTCAGATCAGAGCACATAGACCGCATCAGAACAGCCACCCCATCCTCCTTGAGAAGCCCTTCCTAGGGCCTCAGGAGAGACTGTTTTCTCAATAGGCTTGAGTTTCAGCACTAACCCACCAGAGCAGTCAACAGAGAGCCATGGGGTCTCTAGTAAATCATCAGCTGGAGTGTCAGTTAAATTCTGGGGATAGCCAAGTTCTATTGCAGCAGAAATAATGGAAAATAATACAAGTATATTTCTCAATATTAGGTTGTATTTATGAGAGGACCTTTTGCCCTTTGGACAAACTAAGTGACACAATAGCAAAAAATGTGAAATAGGACACACTTCTAACACTTTCTTTTTTTTTTTTTTTTGCCATTTCTTTGCTTCCCTTCATCTTGTCAAAGCTCTACCGCCAATTCCTTCATAGCATTAGCTCTACAAGGGCTTGCTCCCATGGCGGCAAGGGAAAGAGAGTACGCACATGTGAAGGCTTTGCCTACAGGCCCTAGTTTAGCCTAGTCCAGTAGAAAAATAATGCAAGCTGCATATGGAATTTTAGATCTTCTACTAGCCAAATTAAACTAAAAACAACAGATATAATTCATTTGAACACTGATAGAGTTTGGCTCTTTGTCCCCACCCAAATCTCATCTTGTAGCTCCTATAATTCCCACATGTTGTGGGAAGGATCCGGTGGGACATGATCGAATCAGAAGGGCAGGTCTTTCCTGTACTGTTCTCATGACAGTGAATGGATCTCATGAGATCTCATGGTTTTAAAAATGAGTTTCCCTGCACAGTCCCTCATCTCTTGTCTGCCACCATGTGAGACATGCCTTTTACCTTCCACCATGATTGTGAGGCCTCCCTAGACATGTGGAACTGTAAGTCCATTAAACTCTTTCTTTTCTAAATTGCCCAGTCTCAGGTATGTCTTTTTCAGCAGTATGGAAACAGACTAATGCAAATACTGCTTATTTAACTATATCAAAAATTATATCACTTCAACATCTCATAAATATAAAAAACACTTAATAAAATATTTCATGTTTTGGGTTGTTGTCACAGAAGTCCAATGTGTGTTTTATGCCCATATACAGCACAACTCGATTCAAACTAGGACTCATGCCAAGTCTTCAGTTGCCATATGTAACCATGACTACCATTTTGGACAGCACCTCTCTACTTAATTCTAACTTCTCTACCTAATATTACTTTTTTTTTTTTTTGAGTCAGAGTCTCACTCTGTCACCCAGGCTGGAGTGCAATGGTGTGATATTGGCTAACTGCAACCTCTGCCTCCTGGGTTGAAGTGATTCACCTGCCTCAGCCTCCCAAGTAGCTGGTATTATAGGTGCCCGCCACCACACCTGGTTACTTTTTGCATTTTTAGCAGAGACAGGATTTCACCAGTTTGGCCAGACTGGTCTCAAACTCCTGGCCTCATGATCTGCCTGCCTTGGGTTTCCAAAATGCTGGGATTATATACAGGCGTGAGCCACTGCACCCAGCTGACTATTCCATTTTTTGAGTGATTAGCTACTCTGTTCAATAAATCAATCAAACAATGAAATAGATTCACCTTCAATTCAATATACTGTTATTAACAGGGGTATAGAATGCCTTGATAAAAATTTCCAGAACTTTGGCAATCCATCAAATGCCTCTAGCATTCTTCAGATCACACAGACTGCCTCCTGTGCCTTCAGATGAAATCATTGTGAAGACAAAAATAAAAAGCCTAAGGAAAAAAAAAATACAAAGCACAGAACTGATCCTACTTTAGCTTAAAGTTAAGGTAATTTCCATTTCTAGGAGAATTTTTAGAGTAATAGGTAAATACATCCCTGAGGAAAAAGGAGGATGACCTCTCTAGGTCATAACAGTGATGTACATTCTCACTTTTCCAAAAACTTAGCAGGAAAAAAGAATCCTTGGGAAATTCTCTGGAGCAAAATGGTAATCAGCTGTTAAAAGCATAAATTAAAGAAGTCAAACTGAAGAGTATGGAAGGTATCATATGGTTGTAAAAAGAGCATGGATTCCAGAATCAAACAGACCCAAATTTACAGTGTGAGCAATATGAAGATATCATATGGTTGCGAAAAGAGCACAGATTCTGGAATCAGACAGGCTTGGATTTATGCTGTGAACCTGGGCAGATGCCTCCTTGGTACCAGATTCCAAGGGGAAATGGGGGGAATTGTGGGGAATGCCATTTCCCTTGCAGAGTTACAGGGATTTAAATATGCCTAATACTATATAGAACCCTGATAGACAATAAGTATTTACCAACATACTGTTTTAGAGTGAATATCAATAATCTTTCTGATATAAATAGCTGCTGAATTCATCTGTGAAAACCTCAAGAGTGAGACAAGTAAGCCATAGTGCATTGTCTGCCCGTTCGAGCCAAAACACTGTCCTCCAGGCATCTGCCAAGCCAGGTGCTGTACACTGCAGGCATACATCTTCCTGCAAGGCATCCTGGGAAAGGCAGCTTCAGAAAGGTCAGCTTACTAGGGAGCAAACAAGCTCTCACAAACTATGGGTATCCTCCAGTCATAAACCCAGTTCTAGGAAACAGTATTTACTGGTTACAATATCAATGAAGAGCTTGTGTGGGTCTCCAGATGCCGGTGAGATCCCAGCCCCAGCCAGTGTTCCAGGTTCTTGACATCGTTGCAAGAAAGAATTCAGAGATTAGTCAGAGTAAAGCAAAAGGCAAAAAGCTTTTATTGCAAAGTGAAAGTACCCACTCAAGAGCAAGAGTGTGAGTGAACTTGGAAAAGTGAGTTGCACACAATGGAGTTGGGTTTCTAATTTAATGAGCTTTTCTAATTAAAAGGTGGAATCATGAGGGCTTCTGGGAAAAAGGTGGCGATATCTTAGACTTGGAGTGCCACCCATTTTTATACTAAATATGGGCATGATCAGATCTGTCATGGCACAGGTGAGTGAGTGATTTGGGAGAGGAATGAGTGTATAATCATGTCTGGGGTAGGACGTGGGTCAAATCCAATGCCATGTTGGTCTTAGCTGGTTTCAATCAGCTTAGCCCCCATCCTGTTAGCTAGGGTCTTATCAGCCCAGGCTCATCTTTGTCCTTGTAGCTAATTTTAACAGCTCCTTTCTTGCTGTTGGTAAAACTATTGCTTGATATTTTCCTGCTTCTCCTGAAACCACCCAGCATTTCTATTTTATGGGCGTTATTTTAAATTAGGGAGTGGGCCCAGCGCGGTGGCTCAAGCCTGTAATCCCACTTTGGGAGGCTGAAGCGGGTGGATCATGAGGTCAAGAGATCGAGACCATCCAGGTCAACATCATGAAACTCCGTCTCTACTAAAAATACAAAAAATTAGCAGGGCATAGTGGCGCGTGCCTGTAATCCCAGCTACTAAGGAGGCTGAGGCAGGAGAATTGCCTGAACCCAGGAGGCGGAGGTTGCGGTGAGCAGAGATCGTGCCACTGCACTCCAGCCTGGGTAACAAGAGCGAAAACTCCATCTCAAAAAATAAATAAATAAAATTAGGGAGTGAAATAATCCTTAGATATTCTGGAAAAAGAGCTTTTTGGGGACCCCTGATTACTAACCCAAACTTTCTCTTATTTGGGTTTGCCTGGAAGCATCATGGACATGTCACTCTGACCAGGGTTTTGGATGTTTTTTCTCTAATTTTTTCTGTTATCCTGTAGTTTATTTACCTAGTTCTTATTTTCGCTGTTGTTGGGTTTTTCTAACCTCCTGTCACCACCACTAGGACATTATGATGGCTACATCACTAGAGAATAGGAACGTTTCAGCTCCATTATGATCTCATGGGACCACTCTCACATATGCGGTCCATCATTGACAGAAATGTCATCATGCAGCAGAAAGCTGTGTATTGCATTTCACAGATAAGGAAACTGAGGCTCAGAGAGGATAAGTAACTTGCCCAGCTCACTCCCCAAGTTCAGAGACTGTATCTGGTTGCGGTTACATAGTCGTAGTACCCACAACAATGCCTGTATTATTGAAGAGTGTTATTTGTTGAATAAATAATTACAGGGACAAAGGACTCCAAAACTGTTGTCTCTATACCTGTTGTTCTCAACCTTGGCTATGCATTAACATCACCAGGATGGAGGGGGCTTTTTTAAATCCCAGTTTTCAGGTGACATCCCCAGGCCAAATAAATTAAAGTCTCTACTCCCTCACATGATTCTGATATGCAGCAGAACTCTGCAGAAATTGGAGAACTCTGGTCTAGAGAAGTACTTTTCAGATTTCAGCTTGAACTGAATCAGCTGAGAACTTACTTAAATGCAGATTCTGGCTCAATGAGTCTTAAATGGGCCCGAGATTCTGCATTTCCAAAAAAAAAACGTTCTGGTTGCCTCTAAACTGCCTTTACAATACTGAAATTGTTATTTTTCAGGGGGGCTCTTTCCCCCCAACTATGATGAAGATGCATCTTATGATGTGTTCACAGGAGAGGTGGCAGTGCTTAGTAATTAGGAGAATGGAGACTAGCTGAGATGGTCTGCCTTGGAAGCCTGCTACTGCCACATAATAGCTCTTAATATAAAGTCTGGACAATTTTTTAAATTGCCCTGTGCCTCAGTTCTCTTTTTTGTAAATCAGATATAAAAGAGTACCTATAAATAAGTATTTACTGATACTAAATGTGTAGACACATGCAAAAGACAGTGCCAGAGCATGTTGTAAGTGCTCAGTGAGAGTGAATTCATTGTTGTTATTTACTGAGTATTTCTGATCTTTAAGCTGGAAAGGTCAAGGGCTCTGGAGTTTGACCACCTGGGTTCAAATCCCACCTTTACTCCTGTTAACAGTGTGGCTTGGGCAAGTGACTTAACTCGATGCACCTGTTTCATCAATGTGCAAATGGAAATAAGATCACCTGCCTCTCAGGTTGTTCTAAGGATAAATTATAAACAATGCACTTAGAATACAGCCAGACTAAAAGGTAAATGTGCCACAAATGTTTATGATTGTTGTCATTATGCTATTACTACCACGTGCCAGGCGTTGGGGATGCGGCGGTAAATCAGAAACGGCAAGCGTAGCCCTTGTTGGAACTGAAAAGAAATCGCAGATGTAAAACCTTTGATTTAATGAGGCTTTACAGTGTCCAGTCATCCTTGAAGAGCAAGCAGAAAAAAGGAAATTCTGTCAGTTAATATCTCCTGTATCTACAGTCATTCTCTTGGTTTACAGCAGTTATTTTTACTCTTTGCTTTAGGCCTCTCATTTGCTTAAAACCGATGGCTTGAAAACGAAAACTCATCTGGATTCCCTCACCGAGCTGACAGTCCACTGCCACTGTTATTACAATGATTTATCACTACTCTCTCCAGGCAGATGGTGACAGGCAAAGGAAGGGGTTTGCTGTCTTACGTCCTGACTTCGATAGACACATTCCCCAGAAACAGCAGCTTATATCTTCCAATCTCACGTCCTAAGAGCCATCATCCATGGTCCAGCTGAACCAAAACCTCCACAAGACACATCAGACAATGATTAAACTACTATTTATGTAAGTAATTGCCAGGTACGCTACCTGAAAAGAATTACATTTATCAAATAGTTACCAAATAGTAATTATTAAAATGTATTACTGTGTTTCCTGAATAGCAGCATATCCACTATAGAGACACATAACTCCTAGTTTCTGCTTTCTACTCAGCATACTGTAATGTCTCTCCTTCAGATTCAGGAATGCTGAGAATATAACTCTTGTGAGCAGAGATTGATGCAAATGAGAATTATGATGTATTGTTTATATTCTTTGTGTTCATTAACATACACACACATTCACTCTGTAAGCTGGCAACAATAATGACTGAAAAAGGAGTTGAAAATATTAGGTGCAAGTTAGAGTTTGAGAAACTGATACGAACGGGAGATGGAAATAGTGGGTAGAAGAGGGCAGTTCCCTGGCAAAGGCCCCACACTCCAGCCTGGAGGCCCGCGGCCCTAAGTGGGAACAGGCATTTTTGTTTTTGCACCCAAAATGTTGCCTTTTTTTGCACCCGCCATGGCCCCCATCCTGGACCCATATGAACTTGAAACCCCAGGCTCCACAAGCAGAGGAGCAGGTGAGAAGATTGAAGACAAGCAGACCAATGGTGGAAGCACGTGGCAGACAGAGGAGGAACATCTAAATGCCAGGAGTTCAGCTGGGGGCAGCTGGAGAGGGGGTCAGCCACTGGATGGCCAGGCTCCAGGAGATCATCTTCCCACTCTATCCTCCCTTCTGGCACCTCATCCATCCCACTTAGAGTCACCTCCACCACTCAAGAAAAATCTCCACATTCATTCTTCAAGCCCCTGTGTGACCTGGGTCTTCCAGGATGCTGGGCAAGAGCTCAGGATACAGAAAGCTGTTACACTGACACAATAACCTTGTAAAAAGGAAGAGGGTCCATCGAGCTGGTTAACACTTGGTCAGCCGGCATAGGTAAAATAGCATTGTAACACTGGGGCAGCAGACACCCACCCTTAGAGAGTACCACGGGGCCGGAGCCCAAAGCACTTACCCCAGCTCCTGCATCTGCCCGTCTTCGTGCTCCCTCTCTTCTCGGAGGTTTGAGGAGCAGCAGCAACCGACCAGGTGAGCCATACCCCTGTCTCACGTCCTGCAAGGCAGATCAGGGAACTCTCCCATTTCAGTACTTTCTGTATTTGTTTCTTAGGGCTACCGTAACAAATGATCACAATTTGATAGCTTAAAACAACAGAAATTGATTTTCTTGCAATTCTGAAGGTGAGATATTCGAAATCAAAGTGTGGCAGGCATCTTTGGCTCCTGGTTGTATCACTCCCATCTCTGCCTCAGTCTTCTCATCTTCTCTCTGCGTCTCTCTTTTGTGTCCCTTTTATAGAAACACCTGTGTTCAACAAATTTTATGGGAGGCAATTAGTTTAGCTTAACCACCTGAGGCCCTAGCGTCAGACCCAAGGAGATTGGAGTCACTTGTGCTAAGTGGCACATAATTAAACTGAACTTTGAAATGGGCCAGTTTAAAAAAAAGAAAGAAAGAAAGAAAAACCCAGGAAATCCCAGTCAACCTGAGTCAGTTTAATTTAAAAAGTCCTGTTTTCACCTTTAAAGGAAAGTAATTTTTAAAAAATCAATCTGCATTTTTCCCTGATTCTGCTTTCTCCAGACCTATTTTGGCTCTAATGCCAAACCCTTTTTCCTCAGCAGCTGAACCTAGCCCAACTCAGCCAGGAGTTGCTTTTGCAAAAATGGTCTATTTCTGTACAAAAGCATATGTGTCATAAAGCTAATGAGGCTTAAGCTTCAGGACCCTCAATAGCAGGGACTCTCTCAAGGGGGCTGCAGTCATTTTACATCCATAATCTGTTATTATTTTTCTTGAAGAGGGCTCCCAAAATGGTAGATGTTTCAGGCCTCGAAATCTTGAATTCCCCCCATCTTTCATAGTATATCCAATAGCAGTAATAATTTACAGGGTACATAATAGAAGCTCAACATGTATTAGTCAAAATAATGTAACACGTATCATGCACCAACACTAGACACAGGCACAATCTTTGCCTTCAAGAAGTTCAAAGTATAGTGGAGAACAGAAATACTAATAAAATAGTTACTAAATAATTGTGATGTTGTGACTCATTTAAATGATATGAAGCTACATAGTTTTAAGATGGGACAGGTGGGAGATCTGATGAAGGCAGAGAGTCTTCTGAGGAAGCAATAGTGGGGTGGGAATCTAAAGAGAAGGAGAATTAATGAGGCAGAGGGGAGAGAAGTAGGAAGAGAATTTTCCAGGCTAAGAGGATAGAAGTGTTATAGAGAGAAAGAAAATTGTATCTCCAAGGAACTGAGAGAAGGTAAATTAGCTGCTGCACAGAGAATGAGGAAGACGTTGGTATAAAATGAGCCTGGGAAGGCAGACCAACCATGCCGAGCCCCATGAGCCCTATGAAGATGTTCAGCCTTTATTATAGGAACAAGTTAGTCTGAGTGTTGACCAGGGTGGGGAGCACAGATAAGAGTAATGACATGATCTGATGTCTATTTAAGAAATGTTCTGGCTGTACTATGGAAGTTGGCAAGGGCAAAGCAGGGGTGTGTCAGAAGATGCAAGTTGCAGGCTATCAGGGAAGACCAGAAAAATGGTGGCTGTGGTGTGGTGGGTGGTGGGAGCAGTGGGAAAGAAATGAAAAGAATTGCAGAGACAAAAAGACATCAAAAGTAAAATCCTCACACTTGTCGCAGAATTGACCGTGGGAAGTAATGGCAAAATAGTTATCAAGGATAATGTTAGAGGCTGAAGATTTATGTCTCCCAAAATCCATACATGAACATCCTAACCCCAAGGATGATGGTATTAGAGGTGGGGCCAGCCCAGTGTGGTGACTCACGCCTGTGATCCCAGTACTTTGGGAGGCCAGAGTGAGTGGATCGCTTGAGCACAGGAGTTTTAGGCCAGCCTGGGCAACATGACAAAACCCTGTTTCTACCAAAAAATATATACAAAAATTAGCCTGGCATGATAACACATGCTCGTAGTCCCAGCTACTCAAGAGCCTAAGGTGGGAGGATCATTGGAGCCGAAAGGTAGAGGTCGCCGTGAGCCATGACTGTGCTAATGCACTCCAGCCTGAGCAATAGAGTGAGACCCTGTCTCAGAAAAAGAAATGTTGTGGGGTCTTTGGGGGGTCATTAGGTCATGAGGATGCATCCCTCCAGAATAAGATTAGTGCCCTATTAAAAGAGGCCCTAGTGAACTACCTTGCCCCGTCCACCATGTGAGAACACAGCAAGAAGAAACCTGTCTATGAATAGTAAGCAGGCCCTCCCAAAACAACAGATCTGCCTGAAACCTGATCTTGGACTTCCCAGGCTCAAGAACTAAGAAAAACAAATTTATGTTGTTTTAAAGCTACCTAGTTTATGGTATTCTGTTATAGCAGCCCGAATGAACTAAGACAGAAAACTGCTGGATCATTTGGGTTGTACTGCTGAATAATGACATGTTAACTGGGGTGTAGAACTCTGGAAGAAAACCTGTTTCTTTGGATTGGGAGGGGAGGGTTGATGAGTTTCAGCCTCTTCTTGGACTTACTGAATTCACAATGACCTTGAAGCATCCAAATAAAGATGTCAAGAGAGAGGTTGGACAAGAGGATTCTGAAATGAAGACATCAATTTGGTAACTGAAGGCTTGGGTGTGGATGAGACCACGAAGGGAAAGAAGACAGTGGAATAAAAGAGACAAGCCCCAAACCAAGCCTAGAGAAGCATCATCTGGCTGGGTAAAGAAGGATCTAACTACAAAGGAGAGACAGAAGGAACAGCAGCGGGAAGACAACCAGGAGAATGTGTGGTCACCGCAGTCCAGAGGAGAGGTGTGTAGACAAGAAGCATGTGGTGAGTGAATGGCCCTGAGAAGGCAAGGAAGGTGGGGACTGGATGTCATCGGGTTTAGTGGCCTGAAGGTGCTGCAGCTGAGCTCCTCAGGGGACGTGGTTAACGAGGGCAGAAGCCAGATTGGAGTGGGCTCCGTGGGGAAGGAAGATAGAGTGTGGTACGCAAGGTTGTGGGGTTGACGAGAGTCTGTTGGTGTGTTTGTTTCCAATTATGTTGTTGCTTTGGCTTATTTTTGTTTTCTAATGCCAGAAAAAAAAGTTTTCATAAGCCAGTGAGAGAATGTATTTGAGGGAGCAATTTGATTAAATGAGAGGAACAGGGATTATCAAGGGCATCAGTTTCGAGAGAAGGAAGGAGGGAATGAAATTCAGTTTGCAGGTGGTGGAATCAGCCCACGGCAGGAAGAGAGACATTCCTCTGTTGTAAGAGGAACAGAGGTGGGAGAGACACAGAGGCAGTGAGTTGCATGGGAAGTAGGTGTCTTCTGATGCTTTGTTCCCTGCTGAGAGTGAGGGGGCAGCAGGAAGAGAGAGCAGAGGTTTGCAGAGAGTAAAAGAAGGAATCTGAAAGATTTCAGCAAGAAGTTAGTTTTGCAGACGCCAGGTGATATTATTTGGCTGTGTCTTCACTCAAATCTCATATTGAACTGTAGCTCCCGTAATTCCCACGTGTTGTGGGAGGGACCCAGTAGGAGATAATTGAATTATGGGGGTGGTCCCCCCATACTGTTCTCGTCATAGTAAATAAGTTTCTGATGGTTTTATAAGGAGTTTTCTCCTTTCACTTGGCTCTCATTCTCTCGTCTGCCACCATATAAGGAATGCCTTTTGCCTTCTGCCCTCTGCCATGATTGTGAGGCCTCCCCAGCCATAATCCATTAAACCACTTTTTCTTTATAAATTACCCAGTCTCAGCACAGGTGTCTGAGCCTCATTATTTCCCAAAGTTCTCTTGGTTTTTATGAAATGATTTAGGTCCAGGCAAAAGGACTATTTCCAGTCTCCAGGCAATAGTCTGCCTTAGCAGATTTGAAGATTTGAATATCTCTTTGAGGCAAACCATTTCTCTCTTCGAAGAAAACCATGAGCGTTTTTTTTCTTCTTTTTTTGAGGAAAACTGTAAAGCCATTGTAGAGGGGGAAATGAGGACTTGTTGGTCAAAGGATACATTATTACACTTAGGAAGAATATATTTCAAGAGATTTATTGTAGAGCAAGGTGACTATAGTTGATACTCATATATTGTATTTTTGAAAAATGTAAAGAGAGGCTATTAGTGCTCTTGCCACAAAATAACTATGTGAGGTAAGGCATTTGCTAATCAGCTATATTTAACCATTCCACATGTGTATATATCACAATGTATATATACACACGATGTATATATGTATATACTATGTATATATGTAATACATAGTCCACAATGTGTGTGTATATATACACATACTACTACATTGTATTATACACATGATAAAAACATAATGTTATGTGTAAATTTAAAAAATAAAAATGCTCTAAAAAAAACAATAAAGCCACACAAATTGGAACAGACATTTTAGAGGCCCAGCTAAATGTTCTGCCTGGTGATGTAAACTGCTGCGTGCATTTGAGCCAGAACAATGCTTCACTAGGTGGCTTTGGCTGAAGAGAAACATCGGTTTGGTCTGTTTGGATTCAGATGTCATGGGGGCTGTGAGCTGTCACTTGTTCTTCAGGAGACATCTGTACAATAGTCCCCCTTATCCACAGGGGATGCATTCCAAGACCCCTAGTGGATGCCGGAAATCCTGGATACCACCAAATCCTATATGTACCATGCATAAATTTCTATTTTCTTCTTCACAATTTCACAGATAGAAGATGCATTCTTAGCATATATCTTTGCAACTTCAGCCTGACTTTTTTCTTTCCTGAAGTCTAGAACTTTCACCTCTTCACTTAAAGGAAGCACTTGTTGGCAGTTCAAGCTGCCACCCTTCCTACTCTTGCACTTTGGAGCTATCATTAAGTAAAACGAGGGTGACTTGAACACAAACGCCGCTATATCGCAGTTGATCTCATCACCGGAATGGCTAAGTGTCTAACAGGCAGGGAGTGTAAACAGCATGAGGACACCGGACAACAGAAGAACTCACTTCCCTGTGGGAAGGCTCCATATCTCATCAACCTACTCAGAATGGTACGCCATTTAAAACTTTGGAATTGTTTATCTCTGGAATTTTCCATTTAATACTTTCAGACTGCAGTTGATGGCAAGTAACTAAAACCACAGAAAATGAAACCCTGGCTAAGGGGGACTATTCTATCCTTACTTGCACTTTGATTATAAGTCAGGAGGCAGACTAATCCACATAAAGCAATTAGCAAACTGTCCATGACAAGTAGAGACAGAAATTCTGAAGAGAAAACGCAGCGGTAGTCAGTCGTCAGGGAAGTTTCTAAAAAGGATGTACTTGGATGAGGCTTTGAAGGACAGAAAGCGTTGGGG